TTAATTTAATTCTTTTTATTTTGTATTATTTTATCTCATATTTTTTATTTTATTCTATTTAATTTTGTTTCCTTTATATTATTTTATTTTATTACATTTTACTTTATTTTAATTAATTTTTTTTATTTTATTTTATTTAATTTAATTTTATTTAATTTTATTTTCTAGCTTATATTTTTTTCATTATAATTTATTTAATTGGATTATTAATAACTTGAATTAATATTGTGCCATAACCTAATATTCACAAAATACAATACCAATACCTTGGTTAGCAGCTTCATCAATCAATCAGGGAGGACAATATTGTGTAAACATTACGATACATACATACATTCACAAAGCGCGGTACATGCTTAATATTAAAATCTGTCAATCAGAAAATGTAAGCAAAAGAAATGACGCACCGACGCGTATGTTTAAATATTAAATTTAATTTTGTTAAGGAGCGTATAAGAAGAAATGTAAAAAAAAAGAAAAAAATAATACAATCAGCGATTTATTTTAACGCTTCATTTCAGTACACTTTTAATATTACCTTTCTTGAGTTGACATGCACATCACCGCACAGTCACCATCTGCAGTTAAAGAAAAAATATGCAGTTGTTTAAGCCACTTACGAGCACATTTTCCGGGAGGAGTGTGTGGGGATTTATTTAAATTCATAACGTGATGTTGTTTTGATGCTTCGTTGAATTATTAGATGGCGTTGATAAAAATATTTAACGATTATGTACCGTCATATGTATTTTGACTTTTGTAAAGTCATTGTTTAAGGTTATTCTTGTGCAAGTAATTTTTGTTTTCAATAATTCATTGACAAAGCATAAGTTTTAAGCTTTAAGAACATTTTATTGAATATTTACTAAAGTTTGGTACAAATATTTGTGGTTGTTAAATATGCAAAAAAATTTATTCGAATTTACCTCGAATATACAACACAGAGATGAATTACTACAGTTGGCGTATGTTATATTTAGTAATTCATCTACGCTCTATACATTCAGAAGACATATAATTATTAAAAAATAACTCGTACCTCATAAATACACAACGAGTATATGATCCCTGCCATAATTCAAGGCTTTATTTAAATAAGTTAAATTCGTTCGATTTATGATTTATGCACCGTTTTCATCCATACCTTTTTGCCGTTTAGCCAATTTGAAGATTAATGTCATTTTGTCTCTCACAAAAACTCTTATTATAATTGTGAGGCCGATTCTTCGCCATCCAAATCATTTGCCATAGATAGGAACAGGTTGTAACAGAATCTCTCAACTATGCTCCAGGAGTTTCTGGCGCGTCACTATTGATGTGTGTGATCTAGCGTTTTTCTACTGAAACACAACTCTTCTCTTATTGGACAACTCTGGACGATTGCTTCCTTGAGATGAACCAATTGCTGACGATACAGTTCCGAGTTAATATTTTGGCCTAGTTTATAGTGGATGATTTCTTACCAATACCACCAAACACCTAATAAAATCATTAATACTGTCTTGGTTACCGTTTGTATCGGCTCTTCAACCTCGACCGTTTTCATTTGACATGATTGATAATTATCCACTTTTCATCGCCAGTCACCATCAGAAATATACTGCAATTCGCAGATGGAAATTCTTTTTTCATGGAAATACTTCTTTCGTTGTGTTTTTTAGTACAAAATATTATATCATATTTCTAACGTCCTCTAGAGTAATCCAAGCGCACTTATAGAACTACGCCCATCAATTACAAAAATAATATAATACTTTTTACTGCACTAATATATATACTTGATACTTGAGTTCTAGAGCACTGTGAGCAGCTCAATACTCGTTCGTTGCTCAGCTACTAAACTGACAGTTTGAAATTTATGAAACTTCAGTTTTATATGTCAAATTTCTTTGGTATTTCAATGAATTTTACACTTATATATATATATATATATATATATATAATTAGCGCTTTGAAACCGCTGAAGCGATTTTCGTCCGAGCTNCGACCGTTTTCATTTGACATGATTGATAATTATCCACTTTTCATCGCCAGTCACCATCAGAAATATACTGCAATTCGCAGAGGGAAATTCTTTTTTCATGTAAATACTTCTTTCATTGTGTTTTTTAGTACAAAATATTATATCATATTTCTAACGTCATCTAGTGTAATCCAAGCGCACTTATAGAACTAAGCACATCAATTACAAAAATAATATAATACTTTTTACTGCACTAATATATATATACTTGATACTTGAATTTTAGAGCACTGTGTGCAGCTCGATACTCGTTCGTGGTTCAGCTACTAAACTGATAGTTTGAAATTTATGTAACTTCAGTTTTATAAGTCGAATTTCTTTGGTATTTCAATGAATTTTACACTTATATATATTCATATATATAATTAGCGCTTTGAAACCGCTGAAGCGATTTTCGGTCGAGCTCCTCCTCCATATTGTGGTTTTGCGTCTTGATGTTTTCCAAAAAATGGAGGGACCTACAGTTCATTCCAAGACGCCTCCGAACGGCTGATGGTTTTAATGAGGAGTTTTATTTCATGTCCGAAATACACTCAGATGGGTGGACATTCCCATGCTGAGGGGCGACCGCAATTAGAAAATTTAATTTAATTTATTATTTACTCGTAAATTAGTTTTCTATAACTTTTTGGTGTTTATCGCACGGGAATTTGAACCCGAGCCTTTCGAATGCTGGTACACAATGCTAACCACTCGGTTACCGCGGCCGCATAAATAAAATGAAAGTTATAGAAGAAAGTTCTGGAAAGAAAGTAAAATTTGTTTATTCAAAATGATTGAAAAAACCTGGAATCAAGGCAAATTCACAAACGGTAGTAGCAGGAATACAAAAACAAAAAGCCTATATTTTGTTTGGGTGATCATAGTTTCGAAAAATCGAAAAACCAAAATTTTTAAATGTATTTTGTTTGTGTAAACGAACGTTCAGAATGTCAAAACCTTTTCCACATGCATTTTGTATGTGTAATTTGTTGAAATGGAAGGAAGCACAAGCAATCATATGATGTGACAACTTCGCCTTCTATAAATTCGTCTTGCCTGGAAAATGCAATGAACGAGTGTGCAAGCCTTCTTTGCTCAAATGCTCGAGCAGCTCGAAAATGCTTGAACAAAATATTGAGCTCTAATATATATAAAATTTCTTTGATGCAAAGTTTCAAATAATTATTTTTTTCTCGAGAAGAGCACTTGACGATTTTTCCACAATTATCATTACCTACTTTGTTAGTATTTCATGTAGATATATACATACATATATGGTATGAGAATAATATAATACTTTTTATAAACTTAAGTGATTATTACGAAATCACTTTTTAACTTTATTTCTCACTTATATAATTATGGATTCTTATGTAACTGAAATAATGTATTTTTTAATTGCGTAGAAAAAATTGCTTCTGGTTTGGTAATTGTGAAAAGTAAAAAGTTTCAAAGTGTGAAGAACAATTAAAAACTTTCACTTTGACACTAAAGTTGCGCTACAATGAATTGGGAAGCACTTATTCTTTGTGAGATGGTAGAATTTAATATCTTATAATTTTTTCCCTTTTTTTAATTATTTGAGCCTTATGGTAATGAAAAAAATAATCGAAATACAACTAACATTTATTCACAAAATATTATTAAACAATTTAGCCTATTATATTAAGGTAGTAATAGTTGTTTGGATTTACATATGTATTACTTCTTTTAGAAACCAATCTGGGTATGATTTTCAAGTTTAACAGTACTTTCAGTCAAAAAAACTATCGATAATTGAAGTGATTGGCAAAATAATTTTTGGCACTAAGTCGGCATAACTGTCTTCTATACTGACTCGTTTTCTTGCTGTGGATACAAATGAAGGAAAATAATCTCTTGCAATTTCCCAGTTCTCTTATGTTATTCCTAAAAGAGATAAAAATGCAAGATATTTTTTCTTTTTAACTAGTTTCTTTGTAAGTAGGCACATTACCGCTGCTTACAATCTTATTATTTTGTTTAAAAAACAAAAAAGAGACTCGCCTCTATGGTTTCTACACTCTTAAGCTGTCGTCAGTCACTTCAACTCTCTTGGATAAGCCTGGATGTTGTGAGGTATATAGTTTTTCCACGCTCTTTAGCCCAACCATTATGTGCACAGTGTTGAAACTAAACAACATATAGGAGTATAATTTTTGTCTTACCATTATTACCGCTATCGCCCTGCCCACTGTTTCCATGTAGAAGAGGTAGACTTGTCTGTATCCAGTTGAAAGAGCCTTGGGATTGTAAGCATTCTAGAGTTATATACCTTTTTCCCCCGTTGTGAGGCCATTACCGTCATGTTCTCAGTGTTGAAATTTTACAATAGATATGACCTCAATTCTATATTTTTCATTGTCTTTATCTTGCCCACTGCCTCCACATAGAAGCCTTGATTCTTGGGCCAACGCCACAATGAACGATTCTTCTTTGACGTGAGGGGAAGCTCGCTCGAAGCACAGATTTAAAGTTAGCCCTTTCAGCTTATTTAGATTGCAATCCCCCCCTTATCTACAGTTGATACGGCAGATGGATGCGGTACAGCGCTCTCCCACCAAGTGCTCTCTCTAAGGGGAAGTTAGGTCAACCACCATACCAAGCCAATGGATTATACCCAGTACCGTCTTTCTTACTTTCCTGTTCATAACCGAAGTCGTCCTATCTTGCACTGGCTTTTTCTCAAAGATCACACCGAGGCTAAGCTATCAATCTCGGAGTGAACAGCCACCATTTTCTCAGGGACTTTAGTGGGAAGCGTTCTAGTCACGTCCATCTCCTGTTTTCCGCCCTGGCAGTCAGAATCATACAACTGAAAGAAGTGCTCAAAAATTTAGCTCATGCAATGCTGCGTAAATGCCGTTAAATTTTGGAAAAAAAATATTAAATATTAAAAAATTGCCTTTTACTGAAACCATATACTATAAATATAAGTTTATAAAGACAATTTAATTTATTTCCGGCTTGTTTTTCAGAGAATTGTACAAAATTAAACATTTTTCTATCAACTCTCATTATGTTGCCTGCAGCGCGTACCTTTGGCGAGTTCATACGCATACCAATCAGGTTTTATCAAACAATCGGAGAAGATCTCTACGAACATCGCTCTCCACACCGCATACGTCGTCTTATACTGAAAGCCTTGCTCTATATCGGTTTCCTAAACTTCAATGTACTTGTTTTGGGTGAGATTATCTACTTCGTCAAAGCCTTAAACTCCTTCGCTACGGTTTTGGAAGCAACTGGTGTGGCGCCTTGCATTGGGTTCTCTTTTGTGGCGGATTTTAAGCAAATCGCCCTGACCGTGCATCGTCAAACTCTACGCGAACATTTGGATCAAATGGAAGAGTTATTTCCAAAAACTGTACGACAGCAGGCGCAGTACAAGCTGCCGCAGCGTGAACGTGTTATGCGTCGTGTAATGGGTGTTTTCACACTACTTTGTCTAGCATACACTACCACATTCAGCGTTTATCCGGCACTCAAGGCTACTGTACAATATTGGCTGTTGGGTGCGCCGACGTTTGAGCGTAATTTTGGCTTTGCCATATGGTATCCATATAATGCCACAGGAAAGACTTGGGTCTATTGGCTCACGTATATGGGTCAAGTGCATGGCGCTTATTTGGCTGGTGTGGCCTTTCTCTCAGCCGATTTGATATTGGTTGCTTCAGTGACACAGCTTTGTATGCATTTCGATTACATATCACGTTGTTTGGAGGATTTCGCTGGCGCATCGAAGAAGTGTGCCGAAGAGGATATCAAGTATTTGCAAGCATTAGTCGTGAGGCATGCCAAGTGTTTAGAGTGAGTTTGATTAACAATGTCCTGGGTTGGATGGCAAGACAATATGCTAAGTTTTTTATGTTATTTGTTTCGTTGCTTCGTTGCAGGTTGAGCGAACATGTCAACAGCATTTTCAGTTTCTCTTTACTGCTCAATTTTCTGACTGCTTCGTTGACCATCTGTTTTATTGGATTTCAAGTCACTGCTTCATCTACAGAAGACATTGTGAAATATATTATTTTTCTAACTGCCTCCTTGGTGCAAGTATTTGTGGTCTGCTACTATGGTGATGAGCTGATGACAGCGGTGAGTGTGTATGCATCAATGGTACATTATTAAAAAGACTTCAGTCATGTTGTATCATTTGTATTTCATTTATTTATATAAAGGATTTAATAATAGGGAAAATAATTCTCTCTGCAATTTGCGCTCTACTTAGAGCTTAATTTTGTGGAAGCACAATAAGGCGGCTATTATTTCGGTTGGACACATTCACTTAAATTTCTATGTACTTGTACTGAGAAAACGTTTAATTTTGTTTAACAAAAAATGAAGAAGTAGTTGCTCGCAAACATTTCAGCTACATTATCGTTATTTATGTTAAAGACATTTAGTAACTAAAAACCTCTCTTACCTTTCCTCCAGAGTCTACGCGTTGGGGATGCGGCTTATAATCAAAATTGGTTCGAATGTGATACACGATATAAACGGCTATTGATCATACTGATATTACGCAGTCAAAAACCGGCCTCGATTCGTGCCCCCACATTTCCACCAATTTCATTTAACACTTACATGAAGGTGAGAAAGATTAGAACCCAAACTTTTGGGGCTTATTTAACTCTCAACAATATTTACTTATTAAAGATACATGATATGGTAGTTTCGAGCCCACTATTCGATTAAAAAACTAAATGGCAATAGATATAATGGAAAGATGCACATTTTACTAACCGGCAGGGACGGTATTTAGGGTTATAAACTGTACTCTTTACAACTTACCCATAAGAGGAATAGATAAATTTAACCATATTTCTAGAGGTGATCAGTAACCCCTAACAAAAAAAAAAAAAAAAAAAAAAAAAAACCCCTAAAAAAAAAAAAAAAAAAAAAATGGACGGTCAATATTACGGCAAATATATGGGGAGATTTTTTATTTCATGTCAGAAATGCACTCTGGTGGACTGCCTTGCCGAGGACCGACCGCAATTACAAAAATTAATTTTCTATAATATTGGACGTGGTGCCTGGGCTTTCGAATGGTAGTAAAAATAGTCAGAGTAAAACTAGTACAAGGAATTAATGAATATAGACAAAGCTGAGTTTACATTCTAAGCGAGTACGCAATGAAATTCTGCGCCACTAAGGCACTAAATACATAAGAGGCTAAACCGACTCGTATATGAAATGTAAAATTATAGGAAGTACATCAGTCGCCTTAAAGAACTCGTCGCAGGAACTCATCCAAAATCAAATTGACTTTAGTATAAGAAATACTTTAGCACCTATTGCAGCAGAAGCAATACATATGTAAAATGAGAAAGAGAGTTTCCAAAGTACAATACGAACCACCGACCACTTTTTGAGCAGGATAATAGCTCACCATCAATTAAAGTAAAACTGAAACCTGCTTCGGAAAAACTAAGGGGAATAATTAATTCTACTTCTTGCCGAAATATTCTTAAAAAAGGCCTACAAAAACTTGAAGCGACCTATAGAAAATTAGGGGCCGTTCAGACCGATACTGCAGAAGAAAAGGAAAATATTGAGCAAATTATTTCAACCCAATGCAGCAACTCAACTCACGTGTCTAGGATTATTTCCGATGTGAGTGCGACATCATCAGAGATTAAACTCATAACAAAAAGGCTAAATACAAAAAAAATCGCTTGGTTATGACCACAAAATGCCATAAATGCTAACAGAGCTACCAAATATTGTTTTCAGTTTCCTGTCCAACTCTTTAAAGACATCTTTGAACTTGGATACCGAATGCGTCGAAAAAGTGGCAGATTATCAATCATTCTACAAAGTTCGGTACGAAAAATTTATTCAAAAATGTTAATCGATGAAGATCAGCATTGGAGTATAATGTTAGGACTAAGTTATCATGAAGGAAGCTTCACTATAAACGCAATGTTAATATTTAACAGGCTTTTTGTAGACGATATAAGCGTTTTCAAGAATGCCATGAAGGCAGTTAAATTGACTCAAGCAGCTGAGCGCTCCAGCATATCAATGAAAAAAGTAAAAGAGATGGTTGTGAATGTTTACTGAATCGAAATCAGAGTAATTGCTGATAATTATGGCACATCGATTGGATTATGTCATTACATTTTTTTTCAATGTTTTGCATATGAAACGATTGACAAAAAATCTTCGTTCCAAAATTGTTGAACTTGAAACGAAATTGGTGGTAAATGGAGATAGCTCGGGAGTCAGTAAATGATGATGAGATAGAGATTTCGGATGGCTCAAAGGTTCAGCCATAGCAGTGGAGTCATTATAACTAGAAAAGTAGTCCATGATTTTAGCAATACCAATAACGCACCTGCTCATACAATACTTAATTGCTGAATCGTGGCCTAAAAGAATGTCTTAACGTTGCTCCAACCACCACATTCAGATGAGTGTCCTTACTCATTTATGCAGATGGTGTTAAGCTCGTTAAATCAGTTCGTTCTGTTAAAGATATAGTTTCTTTTGCAACTGGACCTAAATTAGTCAGTGGAGCGATGCAAACTGTAAATCTATAAATTAAAAAAAAGCGGAAATATATGTACATATTTATGTATGTGTTTAGACAGAAGATCTTCCCATGCTTTAGCATCTATGTGTATCGTATATACACGTATCACAATGTTGAAGAAATTACTAACTTTACAGTTTTAGATGTGACTACGGACACTAAGCAAGCTTGGAGTTTTATTTATGATTAAACTAATTAGCTTTACCATATCTTTAATATTGTTTAGACAATTAAAACCATTGTATTGTGGTCATGCTTATGCTTATACTACCATCAGTGATGCCTGCGACTCTTTTTACTGCATCAAAAACCACTTACTGAGAACTTTAAATATATATATCTAAAGGGAGATTTTTGAAGAACTATAGGAGAGTTTTTCAAAAAAAGAAAATCTATAAATCTCAAAGATATGCGTGAAATCTTTATTTGAATAAATAGTACGGTCCATATAATTTATTGTTTGAAGATTATTTCATGCAAAAGTTGAACATGGCTGCGTCTCAAATGGTCCATCCGCTTAGGCCAATTTTGGCATACTCTTTCCAACATTTCCGCCGGTATCTCACGAATAAATGCTTCAATGTTGTCCTCCAATGCGTCAATTGAAGCGGGCTTGTCTGTGTACCCATTAGATTTAACATAGCCCCACAAAAAATAGTCTAAAGGCGTTAAATCGCACGATCTAGGCGGCCAATTGACCGGTCCCGAACGTGAAATAAAATGTTCATTAAACTCGCCTCTCAATAAGTCCATTGTTACGCGTGCTGTGTGGCATGTGGCAGCGTCTTGTTGAAACCATATACCACTTAAGTCAAACTCTTGCATTTTGGGCAAAAAAGAGTTTGATATCATCTCACGGTAGCGCTCATCATTCACACCAAACTGTGACTTTTGCTGAGAGCATTGGTAGCTCTTGCAATGCTTGCGGCTCCAAAATCCAAAATCGATAATTCTTTTCTAACAGAGCACATATTTTGATAATAAAATTCGATAATTTGCTTGAGTTGCTCGTATGTAAGACGATTCACGGTTAAATTATAGACCAAACTGAAGATGTTTGACAGTTATACAAAACCCAAAACATGCGTCAGCTCTTGAAACCAGTGCTGGCAAAAAGATAATAGCTAAAAAATCACCCCATTATATTATATATATTGTATAATTGGCACTTTGTAGCCGCTGAAGCGATTTTCGGCCGAGCTCCTTCGAATAAATAAATAAATAAATAAATAAATAAATAAATAAATAAGCAAATAAATAAATAAATAAATAAATAAATAAATAAATAAATAAATAAATAACTAAATAAATAAATAAATAAATAAATAAATAAGTAAATAAACAAATAAATAAATAATTTCCTTCTCCTTTTTTGGACTTTGGGTTTTGGGCGACGTTCTGTTGAATGGGTAGGTGATGAGTAACGCTGGCTTCTTCGTCGAAAAAAGCGATTTTTTGCTAATCGCAAATTACAATAGATATTAAAAACACATCACTGAAATAACTAAAGGCTATCTCAAGGTTCAAGCTTTAACACTTCAAAAGCATTGTTGCAAGTGTATAATATCTAATTAGGACTATTTTGAATTCGATTTCAATAAACAAATGTTTTTCCAAAAATGAAATTTCACGATATTTTTTTTATAACTCGTGCTTATCATCTTCACATTGAAGCTTAATATCTGTATATTTGTATAGACAATATAAACCGTTATTAGTGCAATTAACAATATTTTTTTTTTATGTTCCACAGGTTATCAGCATGTCCTATCAGTTTTTCGCTTTGTTGCGCACCACCTACAGTGACAAAGGAAATTAAAACTATTTTAGCAGAATATTAATGACGTCATATTTAATCACCTAGAAAAACAAAACGAAGTAAAATAAAAATCACAAAACTAGCGGAAATTTCACTTTCTCTTGAGACTTGGTTCAGTAAATCAGCATCAATGAAAAGATTTCGTGTGCACAATGAAGGAAAGACCAGGTCTGCAATGGGATGCGACGGCGGGCAATGTGCTGTTTGTTTGCCATGAATATACACAATACCTTTGGAATGTCTGTGATAGGGATCATAAAAGCAAAATATGCAGAAAACGTTGTCATAACTACAAAAAAGATGAAGAAGTTAATAAAAAAAAAAAAATAAAATAAATTATTTGTAGCTACCTGGCAACACTGCAACCAAATCGCCTAACCAATGGATAAGCCAAATGTGTAAAATTATTATCACCGCTTAGAAATCCCAACAACAATTCTTCATACGCTTTAAATGTCGGTTCATTCATGTAGTCTTTTTCGAAATACCAAAAATGGAATGCCATTTCTATTAGCTCACGTGGCAAATAAAGTGCGTTAATGCAAAAACGGTTCATAGCTACATACATGCCTTCCACTTGATCTCCATTTGTGATATTCATTAAAGTTCTCAAGTTCAGTTGCTTCGACATATGAGTACATTCATCATCCACGTAAGGTCGACAGAGTTGCGCCCAATTAGTGGCCATTTGTGTTAACTGTTCACTCCATTTGACCAAAACCATATTGCCGACATGCATCCGTTGTGCAATGCGTTGGCGCAAGCCATTGTGTGCGATGATGAGCTGATCTCGTAAGCCCATATCCCTTAATTCCTTATTATCAAAGACTCGATTCCTCCGGTAGCTGCAGGCGATGTTGTTAGCCTGGTATTTGTTGAATTTCAGTTATGCATTTCAAAATTTATAATATAAACTAAAATAATATTTTAATTATATACATATGTACATACCGTTCCACAAAGGGTGTGCGAACGATTGCCGCAATTCAGTTCACAAAAGTTCTTGGAAGCAAAACCAAAAGCAGGCTGAGCAGAAATCACTAGGTATGCAAGGAAAAGTGTGAGGGCGGTTAGTTTATAGAGCATTCCGTAAGAGCTAACTGACCGAGGCTTGGCTATCGTGTTGTAATAAAATTTTATATACATATATATTTTTTTGAAAACTGAATAAAATTATTTTATTTTTATGTTAAAATTGATTTAGAAATCCCCGCCATGCACTCTCGAGGAGTGAACAGGCTATACATTTGTGTGTAGGTAAGTCCAAGGCAAGTAAAGTTACACACGGTAGTAGCAAGGGGTAGCCGAGTGATCAGCATTGCGACCTGCCATTCGGGTTCAAATCCCCGTGCGATTAGCACACAAAATTTACAGACAACTAATTTAAATAATAAATTAAGTTAAATTTTCTAATTGCGGTCGCTCCTCGGCAGGGAATGTCCACCACTCCGAGAGTATTTCGGACATGAAATAAAGGCTCGTCGTAAAAAAACCATCAGTCGTTCGGGTGCGGCTTAATATAAACTGGAGGTCCCTCCATTTGCTGGAAAACATCAAGATGCAAAGCAGCGAATTGGAGAAGGGGCTCTGCTCAGAAACTACCTTTAAATTATTGTATCATGGATAAGTTAGTATAGTGAACACTCATTCAAGGTTTGGTACCTATGCTTAGTATGTGAGAGAACTGGAAATTAGTAAAAAAAAACGCACCTAAGCCAAAGACTATTATTATAGGGCAAACCTCTTTTAGAAGCTGTCTACCAAGGTGGCTACGAGCCTATACATATGTATATATTATACTTTTCTGTAACTTCTTCTACAACTTATTTGTGCTAGTCAGGCACGGCCACGAACTAATTTGTCATCTTACGAAGTCTCGTTAAATTTACGAATTGAAGTTCTATCATGACAGTTCCTAAGTTGCGGCTGATGTCATCTTCATCAAATAAGCTCCATTATGTCTTACAGATGATTTCGGGTAAGAGACATTCGCGACTGGCTAGATAATTTCCTGAAAAGAGGACCAATTTTCGACGACTTTTTACAACAATTGGGGCCACAGACCCACGACATGAGATAATGCGGTCACTAACAGTTTTTTTTTAATAAATTCTTGTTGACGGTATCACATGTAGTTCGTCTTGTTGGAACCAAAGGTCGTCAACATCCTCCAATTCAAATACCAAAAAGTCATAAATTCTGGCACTACAGCGTTCCCATTGATTCCCTCTGCCCATTGATCACATCAAACATTGACTATTTTGAGAAGATAACAGCATCTCAACAAGAGCTTATGCATTATTAACACTTCGATAGCGACAATTTTATTTATTTACGTTCACATTCAACCAAAAGCTAGCTTTATCGCTAAACATAGTTTTCCAAAAAAATCGAGTGTAAACCAAACGTGAGACGCACTTAATGGTCCTTCGGTTCAATACTTGGAGGAGATAAATTTCGTAGCCACATAGATGGGCACAGCTCCGATTGTTGGGGGCGATGGCGCATGGACTCATTGGGGTATTCTTCGATACTCTGCTTCTAAGCTGCAATAGCGTTTTCGGTACGTACTGTATGGCGTATCTGGGGCTGCGTATTAACCATTAGAGTAAATGTGGTGTGAAACCGATCCATCATTGCTCGTATGAATGACTCTGTTGGGAGATTATGTTGTTCCAGAGTAAGTCTGTTCGTAATGAAATGGAAAATCAAACTAAGTTTAAATCAAGTAACATCTGTAAAGAAAAAGTCCGAAGATCTTTGGTTACTGTTCTTGGGAGCCTATGCGGCGAAAAGTTTCGCTAGACTAGACACCTTCAATGGTACTTGATACGATCTCCGGCCACGCATGTACCTTGCGAAATGATATTAAATGATGAATCCTTAAACTCACGATAGCCATTTAATTGGTTTTAGCTATTAATAAATATAATAATTATTATATTTCATATGCAAATGTATGTAAGTTTCGTTTATATATACATATGTATGTATACATATATGGACATACCTTTAATTCTGCGGAATTTGCAGTCGCTTGTCAATTTAATGTCATTCAGTTTGATTTATTATCATAGTGTAACTGACTAATTGTATTAATAGCAGTCACTAAAGCATACTACTATGCTTTGTTATTCAAAATTAGTCAGTTAAAGGTCACAAAAGCTTAAACATATTGACGCATACGTATATGCATATGAATGTAGCTAATGTTTACCCTTTAGGAAATGCATACTTAATGTAAGTACTTATAACACTAGTGAGTTAAATCTAAGATAATTTATAATATCCACTCAATTGTCAAAAAATAGTATAAAAGTACGCGTACTTAAATGAATAAATAATTAATTTAAGCTAACAGTTATAGAGTGGTGAAATTATTTGAAAAGATCGGCAAAAACACTGAAAAGGAGTTGCCACACTGGTATGTGCTTGATGTCGCTTAATGAGGTGCTTATGCCTGATATATTTGATGGCTCAAAATTCTTGCCGCAATTGCAGCAAAAAATGATTAAAAATTGGGCCTCTCGGCTGGAATTTATACGAGCAAGCCGCGGCGGTCAGTTGACCGAAATCGGTTTTAGAACATATTTAATTACCTTAACTTTATAATAAAGCTAAATTCTAGAGCATAACGTTGAATTGTAAGCGTTTTATTTCTTCTTGGAAGCTATATGCCTAGAAAGAAACACCGTTTATTTAGCCAAAGCGGCTGAAAAAAATAATTTAGTTTATGGGCCCGATACTGTAAACGAATAAGTAGCACAAAAGTGGTTTGCTAAGTTCCATTCCGGTAATTTCGATGCCAAAGATGCACCGGGTTTTGCCGTGTGTTTGGTGGGATTGGCAAGGGATTATCTACTACGAGCTGCTTCAAAACGCTCAATTCGGTCCTCTACTGTCAACAAATGGACCGCTTGAAGGCAGCACTCATCTATTGGGTTGCCCAAAAAGTAATTGCGGATTTTTTAAAAGAAAGTAAATGCATTTTTAATAAAACTTAGAATGAACTTTAATCAAATATATAATTGCCATTTTGTTCGATAACCTTTTGCCATCTTCCTGGCAAATTTAGTATTCCACGCTCATAGAACTTCTGGCCTTTATCTGCAAAAAACTGAACCAAATGCGATTTTATAATCTGATCATTGCCGAAAGTTTTACCATTTAATGAGTTCTGCAAAGATCGAAATAAATGGTAGTCTGATGGTGCAAGGTCAGGGCTATATGGTGGATGCATCAAAAGTTCCCAGCCAAGCTCACTCAGTTTTTGGCGAGTGAGCAAAGATGTGTGCGGTCTGGCGTTGTCCTGGTGGAATATGACACCTTTACGATTGTTTTACAGTAAACATCCGAATTAATCGTTTGGTTCCTTGGAAGCAGCTCAAAATATACGACACCCTTCCAATCCCACCAAACAGACAGCATAACCTTATTTTGGTGGATATCAGCCTTTGAAGTGGTTTGAGCTGGTTCACCATGCTTGGACTATGATAGTTTTCGACTAATGTTGTTGTAAACAATCCATTTTTCATCTCCAGTTATGATTCGTTTTAAATACGGATCGAATTCATTGCGGTTAAGGTGCATATCACAAGCGTTGATTCGGTGTGTTAAATGAATTTCTTTCAATACATGTGGTACCCAAATATCAAGCTTTTTCACCAGACTTTTTATGTGATAATGAACGGTTGATTTTGGTATATTTAACTTCTCTCCTATCTCACGCTCAGTTACATGATGATCCATTTCGATTAATGCTTTGATTTGGTCATCATCAACTTCATTTGGCCGACCTGAACGTGGCTCATCTTTAAGGGAAAAATCTCCAGAACGGAATTTGCGAAACCAATTTTTACCCTGTCTTCCTTTTAAGGCTTCATCACCATACACATCTCGTAACTTTTTAGCAACCTGCTCCGCGTTTTTTCCTTCATGGAAATAATAAAGTAAAATATGTCGAAAATGCTCCTTTGTGGGCTCCACATTAAAATTGACGCCAAACAAACAAATGTAAACAAAATTTCGCGCACTTTTTTTCTAAAGTAAGCTAAAAGTAACAGCTGATAACTGACAGAAGAAAGAATGCAATTACAGAGTCACAAGCCGTTGAAAAAATTTGTCAACGCCGACTATATGAAAAATCCGCAATTACTTTTTGGGCAACCCAATAGAAGAGGCTATATTTGATCAACAGAGACCGAATTGTGTTCCATCGGGACAACGCCAGGCCACACACGTCTTTGGTGACGTGCCAAAAGCTCCAGTCCGGACCTGGCACCAAGTGATTATCATCTTTTCCTGTCCATGACGAATGCGCTTAATGGTGAAAAGTTGGCCTCAAGAGAGGCCTGTGAAAATGGGCTCTCCGAGTTTTTTATCAATAGGGACGCAGTCTTCTACGAGAGGGGTATAATAGAGTTGACGTCGCATAGGCAACAAGTTTACAAACAAAACGGCGCATATTTGACGTAAATCGGATAAATGTACACAAAGTTATCATATTTTGAACAATAAATAAAAAACCGAACGAATTTCTTATTTGACCTAATATTTTTTTTCTACTTTTATGTTTATTATTTTTTTTTTTATAAAAATCGCTTTAGTAAATAAACATATTGCAGAAACGTTTAGTTATAATTAAAATCTACTGATTTTTTGACATTATGAAACCAATTCCTGCAAGGCCGGATTTATTAAAGGCTATTGTTATCCCTTTCAATTTGTTGTAGTTATTGACACCATTAGCATTAGCTTACCATATTGCAGATGTGCAAATGAGCTTTGCATATAAAACGAAAATTTGAGAATAGTAGACCCGACAAGAAAAATTTGAAGCAAACAATAATCAGTTTTATTAGTATAAATTTTCTTCACGGCTATGATTGTCTTTCAAATATTCGTAGAAGTACACATACATATAAGAACTTCTGCCTGAGTATGTAAGCATTTGAATATGAACATACGTATATATGTATGCATACATATCTCTGTGATAAAAAGCATGCATAAGTAAACAGCTATATAATTTATGGCCTGCTAAACCAAATTAATTAAGTTAACCTCATTTGCAAAATACGTAATCAATTTATAGTCCCTATTGTCTGCGAGAATTTCTACACCTACACTATGCAAAAGCAAGTATGTATGTAAGTTTGGGTAAGTAGGAGTTCAATATTGATTTGTATGAAGATAATTTTAATAAGGAGCTTATGAACTTTTTC